GCCGGACTATGTCGTCGAACTTTCACTGACTCACCAGGAGGTTGAACCCCGACAGGATGCCCAGGATGCATTTAACTGATGGATAAAGACTTACCACTCACCCAAAGTTACCAATATCCCCGAGAAAAGCGGTCTACTTTACTGAGTTTACTCTGTGTGTGTGTGGGCGCGCCCGCCCCAAGAATCTATCCATCTGGCCCATGATCTGGGTGCGCGCAATCAATTAATCAATCAGTGAACTCCTTTGATTGATTGATTGATGGAGTCAAAAAGGGACAGAAGAAAAAAACTTTGACAAATAAAAAGGAGGAAATGGGGGAAGTTATCATATTATTTGAAGGGTGAATTTCAAAAATATTGCTGTTTCGAAGTTTGGCAGCAAAAATGTCGTCCGTTCGAAGTTTCCCTTGCAAAAATAGAGGTTTCGTTGCAGCTTTATCGGGTTCCCGTAGTTTGCCACCAAAAATACCGCGTTTTGCCAAGTTTCACAGCGAAGGACCCCTAGGCCCCTGGCCTCAGGGACTCAGGGTCTCAGCGTTCTGGCCTCAGGCACTCAATTTTTCTCTTTTTCTTTTTGTCTTTCTTTCTTTTTTTTTTTCTTTTTTTTTTCGCGACCGTGGCCGAGGCATCTCGGCCGTGGGCACGCCCAGATGTGTCGGCCATGCCCGAAAAAAAAAAACAATAAAAAAAACGCTGAGTGCCTCAGGCCAGAACGCTGAGTCCCTGAGTCCCTGAGGCCGGAGGCCTAGGGGTCCTTTGCTGTGAAACTGGGCAAAACGCGGTATTTTTGCTGGCAAACTATGGGAACCCGATAAAGTTGCAACGAAACCTCCATTTTTGCAAGGGAAACTTCGAACGGACGACATTTTTGCTGCCAAACTTCGAAACACCAATATTTTTGCTATTAACCCTAATTTGAATCCCCACTTCTTCTTTGATTTTTTTTTTTTTCGCTCATGATATCACAAAAGTCTGAAATTTGTTGGGATATAGTGCATAAGCAGGTAGATGTGCGAAAAGTTCAAGAGAAAGAAAAAAAAAAAAAACGGACGACAAATACGATCCGTCAAGAAAACGAAAGAAAGGAAAAACACTACAGGAGAGAAAAGAGACAATTTTTTTTTTTAACGCCTACGGGCCTCGCTCCACTAGCAACGAAATATGCGAAATGATAAAAGATTTTCCGTTAATACTTACTCGCTCCACTACAGTGACTCACGAAATGAGCGAAATGAGACTGAATCCTCCGCGAGAACATGGAAAGATACACCACTTTCTTTTGTTGTGTTTTCTGTATGACATTGTGGAGAGTGGTGGAGCGAGCCCCTAAGTATTTTTATCTGTTGTGCATGTCGCTCTACTACGCTGCACATGCAGAAAAAACAGAACATATGGCCATGTATGCGTCCATGTTGTAGCGGAGGTCCGGAGGATTAAGTCTCATTTCGCACATGTGGAGAGTAGTGGATCGAACGCCCATTCTTTGCCTGTAATCGCTTTAAATTTACAGCCGAAAGATAATCAATCCCGTTTTTTCGGCTGTAGAAATAGGGAAAGTAAACGGGATTGATGATTCATGAAAGATAATCGCTGTGATGAAAAGGAATGGAACGGGAGCCACGAGAAGGATGAGTGCAAATCCTGGCAGCTGAAGGTGATTTGCCTATTTTTAGCTCAGTCGCACTTCCGTCGGCATCAGAAAAGTTCAAGGTGGCTAGAAAGCTTACGTTGACAGAAAGTAGACTTTGACTAAGGATGACGTGGACGGAATCTCAAAGTGGATATTGATAAAAAGCGGACCTGGCATCGATTTTTAAAGCGGAAGGGGGAAAGGAGAGCTTCGCATGCATGTGAGGATTGATATCGAGCAAGGTAAGGGGTACTAGGGGTTGTGCGGAGTCGGACGCGGGTTCACCGCTCAGAGCCTCGGAGTGGGAAGATGGCGCGTTCTGCCGAGTCACCCTAATCTGCTCGTCCTGATTGTGGGAATTATGCTGACGTGTCTTTTCCGTGTACCATCTCTTCTCTGGAGAGCTCCTGGCTATGGCAGCGGTTCGGGCCGTGTCGTCAGTGGCAGTACAAGTTGACAGCAATGTGAAGGAGGTTGGTATGGAGAAAGGAGAGGGGAAGGAGGGTAGACACGGCGCAGTCTGTGCTGGACTGGGCGAATTCGGATTCTGCCCGATGGGGGGCGCAGGACATCACCTGCCGATCAGGGTAAAGGCCTGGGACGGCGTGGGACCACGTTGGGCCTGGGACCGCGTTGGCTGTGACTCCCCCTGCTCATTCTCAGGTAGGGGCCTGACATTACCGCCTTTTTTCTGATTTTTTTTGCCTTTCCGAACTGCGGCCGTGTCCTCATTGCGCTTTCTTGTTTCTTTTGCCTTTTTTTTTAACTCAAAACACGACACGGCCGCACTTGTTTCAAAAAAGGAACTGATCCAGCGGCCTAAGTCAGTTGGTAAGGCTCGCAAGTGGCATTCATGAGGTCGTGGGTTCAATCCCCATTGGCCTCATGCACCTTGCTGGGCATGCTTGGCGCCCGCCACCTAGAGATAGATCACTGGACCCCCCTACCGGCATTGAGCCGGGAGTCTGCTGAGGTTCGTAGGGGAGGGGACCACCACCTGAGGGGAGGCACAGGGATTGGTCCTGTTGGCATGGTCCCTGATGCTACTGGCTGTCCCCTAGCCAGTATC